GGGGGGGGGGAAATACGGCATACGAGTGGCGAATGTTATTTGGGATTTTCTATGGGCGCTTTTTCTTTTTCTTTCTTTTTTCTTTTCGGGGAACAAAGAGCAACTCCTATTCGAGAGCTACTCGAAGTCGTGTACATATTTCCACCGCTGTGTAGCACTTTTAATAAAACATCTGTTCTTGCTTCTGCTGATGAGTTTACATAATTGTTTGCAGACCAATTTAACCAGAAAGAGCCCCACAGAATTCCCTGTGCGTGTTCTCGTGGGGGGTGGGAGGACGCGTCTGTGGGGGGGGGGGGGGGGGGGGGGGGGGGGGGGGGGGGGGAAATATGTATATATGGGACGTATGGATGTATATGGAGGGGCTGCAATGGGTAAAAGCGCCCTTTTAGGATGGATGAGGAGTTGTGTTCGCTGGAGCTTTTTGGGGTGGATGCGTTCTTTTTAGTATTATGATGATTCTTTTCGTGTCTGCGTGTGTTTTTCCCTTCTCCCCCCCCCCCCCCCCCCCCCCTCCATCCCATCCCCGTCTTTCTCTGCGTCTCTTTTCTGGTGGATTTTGAGCTTGGGGAGCGGGTTCTGTGTGCAGTTTCTGTGCGGCAGCTGGTTTGTGTTCACTATAAATCGAGCGGACTTTTAAGACTTGCCCTCTGTTTAGAGAAGTCGTAAAACACTTAACTTTTCTCGACTCCCAGTCACACGGTTATCACACAGGTCTGGGATACAACAGCCCCCCGAGCACCTAGACCAAAATAAAATAAAATAAAATAAATTATATATATGTGCGTAAAAGAAAAGAGATGGGAAGCGAAGCAAAAACAGAGCGATAAAATCAAGCTGGTCACAATTAAACAGCCCAAAAGGAGAGATTTGCAACGTCGTTCTGACCTCCAAACTTTAGAGGAGTGGGCATCGCTTCTCATCACCCTTCCATGGGTGCCCCAAAGCTTTCCGACCCACGGAGCTGAGCAGCCTCCAATGCGCTGGCAGGACGAACCCTCCATCCCTCCCTCCATCCCTGCGTTGGAACTCAATGGCAGCAACTCATCCCAGGGCCGGGGGCTGCAGAACAGAGCCGAGACCCCCCCCCATATCCCACCCCCCCCCATCCGACCGAGGGGCAACGCTTAACAGAAACCCTTTGCCATCTCATTTTTATGCTTTTTTCCCCCCTTTTCTTTCTTTCTTTTCCCCTAAATCCTCTCTCAGGCTCCGCCAGTGAGGATTGGGGCGAAGGGGCGAGAGGAAGAGGAAGGGAACGAAAGCAAAACTGAAGTTCGTTGTGTTTTTTTTTTTTAATTATTATTTAGCTTTTTTTTTTTTTTTTTTTTTTTAATTTTTTTTTAGCTTTTTTTTTTTTTTTTTTTTTTTTTTAACGGGGGGGGGACGACGACGACGACGACGACACGCTTCCTCCCCCCGTGTCCATCAGTCTGAAACCTGGCCAAGTTGGGCAGCTTTTAGGCACCCCAATGAAACCCAGCGCTAAAATATCGCAGCTCACACAACGCACTTCTCTCCTCCTTTGGGTCCCAAACTTTATTTTTATTTTTATTTCCCCCCCCCCGGTGACATTTAGGGGAAGCCTTCACGTTATAGAAGATGAATACACGAGCTTTTTTTGCTTTTTTTTTTTTTTTTTTTTCAGTTGCAGTCTCGTTTATGGTTTTATTGCTACCATTGATTACTTTGCTTTGTTACACAGAGGAAAAAGAGCATAAAATCCGTTGGCATCCGGGTTCCTGTTATAGCTGGGGGGAAAAATATACAGCCCCCCCCCCTCTTCAACCTCACCCCCCCCCATCCCCCCTTTTCCAGCCCTCCGGCCCTTCTTTGTCAGCTCAAATCTTTTCGAGATACATCGCTAAAAAGGAACGAAGTGAATTGATGGAGAGCAAACAAACGCTTTAAGCTTCGGATTGGAGCCCAGAGGGGCTCTTCCAACCCCACACAAATTCAAAAACCGTGAACCCGAAGGTTTGGGAGGCCGACTTTCCCCTCTTTCGTGGAGGGTTTTTGTAAATAGGAAAAAAAATCAGGACCGTGAGACCCCGAGCTGTGAGCAGAGCTGCAGGTACGTTGCACGTCTCAGGGGTCACTGATGGCTCGAAATAATTGCGACGAAAATCAGATGAAATCAGACGAGATTCATTTCCATCAGTCCTGGCCTCAACCCGCCCAAAGGGAACAGAATCTCCACTCTCATCTCACCCAATATTTGCCATCGAACTTTTCCCCATCAGCTGGAAATACCCGCAACCCCCAATGGCTGCAGCCACGAACCACGAGGTCCCATCCTCAGCCCCCACAACACCAGCGACCAACACGAGCTCTCCCACTGTTTGCCCCATTTCTCTTTTATTATTTTACTGCTGGAAAAACGTCCATCTGTCCTTCCAGCACCGAGAAAAAAAAAAAAAAAAAGGAAGAGGTGCAGGAGGGAAACGTCAAACTGGAAGCCAGGAGAAAAGCGAACTTCGGGCTGACGTGAGCTCGCAGTGCTGCGTGTTCGTGGTCTGTCTGTCTGTCCTCCTTGTTATTTCT